GCTCCCCAGAGAATCGTGTACTCTCGAGGGGAAACAGCTGGAACCCTTCTCCCTGTCCCAGACCGGATCCCAGAGGCCACCTCCTGCTATGGGAGAGTGTGGCTGGAGCCCGCCTGTGCTGGAGTCCCGTCTGCTTTGAGCAGCAACTGATTGGGTCCATAAAGGGGCAGGATGTGGACCTTGCCACATCTGGTCCTGTTGATTGATTCAAAATGTAATAACATAAAGTGTCACGTTTCAGCATTTCTGGAGACTTTTCCCTGTTTAATCATAACCTTAGAACAGTGTTTCTCAGCTTTGACAAGAGTTGACGTTTTGGGCTGGATCCTTGTCTTCTGTGGGGCCGTGCTGAGTAGCGTCTCTGGCCCCTACTCAAGTTGTGATAACCAGCAGTCTGTCCAGACACTGCCTGGTGTCCTCAGAGGCACACGGCTGCCCCCGGTTGAGAACCACTGCCTTAGAACAGCTCAAGTCTGTTCCATATGGAGCGTGGCTTCTAGCTGTTGCGGAGACGGCCCCAGCGGAAACTGCCTTATCTCAGACGTGGGTGTCGGGACGGCCCCAGCCGTGGGTAGAGGGCACTGGGACGGAGCTAAAGGGTCTCGTGTTTGTAATGAAATCACTAGGATTCATAGAAAACCGATGACTCATTTCTGCCCCCAAAACCCCAGACAGTTTGGGCTTTTACAAAAGCCCAGAGTATGTCTGGACATACTTTCTTCGCATAAAAATCATCTGTCTTATTTGGTGGATGGAATAAGGCATTTAAAGTCATTGACCCTATTTTGGCGTAAGAATCACAGGTTGACAAAAGGGTTTCTTTCCTTTCGTTTTCTTAGGCTGGGAATCGCTCCACAGGTGGGGATAGAGAGTAAGAACAGCAGGTGTTGGTAATTGGGTGTTTTTGTGTTTTTTTTTTTAATGTTTATTTATTGTTGAGGGGGGTGGGGAGAGAGAGAGACAGACAGAGTGTGAGCGGGGAAGGGGCCAAGAGAGGGGGAGACACAGAATCTGAAGCAGGCTCCAGGCTCCGAGCTGTTGGCACAGAGCCCGACGCGGGGCTCAAACTCAGGAACCGCGAGATCGTGACCTGAGCTGAAGTCAGATGCTTGACTGACTGAGCCACCCAGACACCCCTTGGTTTGGTAATTGTTAATGTTGGGTGATTTTTTGTTTTCAATATCATTTTGTTTACTTTTTGTGTTAGAAGTACTTTCATAGGGGCGGCTGGGTGGCTCAGTTGGTTAAGCAGCTGACTCTTGATTTCGGCTCAGGTCAGGATCTGAAGGTTTGTGAGTTCGAGCCCCAGGTCGGTCTCTGTGCTCACAGCGCAGAACCTACTTTGAATCCTCTGTCTCTCTCTGTCTCTGTCTCTCTCTCTCTCCCTCCCTCTCCCATGTGCGCTCTTTCTCTCAAAAATAAATAAGTGTTATAAAAATTGAAAAGAAGTGGTTTCATAGTATGTTTTCTAAAACGGTAGAGGTTAGAAACCGTGGGCTTTTTTTTTTTTTTTTTTTTAATTTAGAAACCATGGTTTTTTAATGCAGATATTATATGGTAGGGGACACTTAGAAAATTTGCGAGAAGTCTCGAGCTCGGGGATCCTCAGCGTGAAGCGTAGTGGTGTTCAGGGGCCGTGAGGGGCACACATGCAGTCAGGACACACGGACACGCAGTGGACGTGCGATCCGCAAGGATGTTGCTGCACGAAGGGGGCCGGGAGGCAGCCCCATAGTGGTGAAGTGGCGGGGAAGAACTTGACCTTGAGGGAGGGCAGCCCGGCCTCGCCCAAGGTTGGGGACCTGCCATCGCCCTGGGGCTCTCTGAGGGGGCACTAAGTGAAAGTGGCCCTTAGTTTCTCATTCCTTCTCCGGGGAAGGGAGAAGGCACTAATTAAGATCATCTTTGGCTATGTGAATAGTAACTAGAAACATTTTTATTTAAACCTTTTGTTGAAAATCTCTGGTAGGATATCAACTCACAGACCTACCTTAATATAAAAAAGACGTGAACACCATTTGTGTGATTGGGGTCCCCTCTCTTTTAAAACTTTTTTAGAGAGTGAGCACACACGTGTGTGTAAGCAGGGGGAGGAGCAGGGGTGAGGGGGGGGAGAGAGAGAGAGAGAGAGGGGGAGAGAGAATGAATATCTCAAACAGGCACCACGCCCAGTGTGGAGTCTGACATGGGGCTTGATCCCACAGCCCCAGTATCATGACCTGAGCCGAAATCAAGAGTCGAACGCTCAAGCAACTGAGCCACCCAGGCGCCCCCACAGGGTCCCCTTTTTTAATTCACTTCAGATTGAACAGAACCCCAGTTCCTGGAGGCCGGACTCCAGCAGAGTGCATGGGCAGAACTGCCTCCTTCGTCTTGCCTCGCATTTTCCTAAAACCTTTCTAAGGGGAAATCTCGAGTTAAATGCGAGGCAGTCGATGCTTTATTGTGGTCTGCTCCTCTGGGGAGAGAATGCATCACAAAGCTGGGTTGTAGGGACCAGGACAGGGTAAGTGCAGGATGGGGTCGGGAGTCCCACACCCCTAGGAAGGTGTGTGGGTCGGGAGTCTGTGAGCCCCCACGTGTGATACTCAGACTTCGGGATGCATGTACTTTTTTCCTGGAGAGGGGCTGTAACTTTCATTTGATCATCAAAAAGTTTCATGACCCGAAAAGGTTAAAGACCACCGCCGTAGATGGCCCACACAGCAAGAACTCAGCTGCCTTTGGGTGGACTTTGAATGTGCCCGCTTTAGGTGGCAGAACCCCCCGTTCTTGCCGTACCCACCCTCCCGCTTTCCACCTCCTGGCCGGCATCTCCGCCCCTTTTCCAGCCTCCCTGCCTCCCCCGCCCCTCCACCCCCACTGCCGGCCAGTCTGCTGATGGGTATTGCTGGCCCGGGAGCGGAAGCTGAGCTGCCTTCCTCTGTCTGCTCGTTTTTTTCTGCTCTGGCTTCCCTCTGTTGTCCTGTCTTCATCCTGCCCCAGGATTAGATCCATAGAAGATGCTTCTCTGGGAGCTGGGGTCTGTTTTCTCTGCAGCTGACCCAGAGTAAGCACCAGAGACCTGCGGTGGTCTGAGGTCGGGGTCTCCCAGGTGGCCGAGGACCAGTCCGTGGAGCGCCTGGCCCGCCAGGGGTGGGAGGCCACGTGGCGGCCGCCCCTGGCTGACTCTCTGGTGGGGTTGTTTTCCTCTTTTGCAGATCAACCAGTCACTCGATGGGGAGCAACGGCGGACCACCTTTTTGTGTCACCTTCCCACTTCTCTGTAGCAAGAAAAATCACTTCAGCACCTCTTCAATAATAATGATGAAACTGGTATTAACTGAATGGCAATTATGGATTTTTAACTCTAATTCACAGTAAACCAGCAAGCCATATGTTTAAAATCCAACCAAAAATCATTCTGTTCTGCTGCGTGTCTCACCCGATTGTGAGAAGTGGAGAGATCTCTGTTTGTACAAAGAGGGATACAAGCATCACTTGCCGGAGGAACACAACTGAAGCAGAAGGAGAAGGTGTCCTAATTTATCCTTAAAGATATATGATAGCATTATTTATATAGATAGAGGAAATATATATATATTAACAAATATATATATATATATATACACATATATATATATATTTTTGGTGGTAATGAAAATGGCTCCGCAAAATGCCGACTCAGAATCTATGCAAGTTCAAGACTTACCTGTGCCCCTGCCAGACCTGCAGAAGCCCGGAGGTGCGGACACCCACTACGAGACCATCAGCGAGGGGTCCATAGACCGGATCCCTGTGCGCCTGTGGGTGATGCACGGGGCCGTGATGTTCGGCAGGGAGTTCTGTTACGCCATGGAGACGGCACTGGTCACTCCCATCCTGTTGCAGATTGGTAAGTGCCGTCCGTGCCTGGCCTGGTCCTTCGCGCTGAGCGTCGGCGTCGGCGGTTCGAACGCAGGAGCGGACGTCGGCACCCGGAGCTCGCCCCGCGGGCTGGAAAGTGTCGAGAGCCCCGGGAAGCGGCCTCCCGCGCTACGCTTTCCTCAACCCGCTCCGGCCGTTGTTTTCCTCCCGGTTTAAACTGCGGCTGGGAGGGGGGGTGGTCCTTGGATGCTGAAGTGGACGTACCTGTTGGCAAAGAGGTGGTTGGGCGCTCGAGTGCGTGCAGTCAGCTTTGATACGTTGTAATCTGAGCGAGCCCGTCTCCCTGACGTACCTCCTGCCGCGCCCCCGCCTCCCGGACACGGTCGCCAGGACACGGTCGCCAGCCGTGTGTGTCCTCCGGGGCGAGCGGGGAGCATCTGCCTCTCGCTTGGCTTCCTTCCCGAGAAAGGGGATCTTGTTGCAGGCCGACAAGGCAAGTGCTTGGAACGAGAGTAACGCGAGAATAACCCTGAATAATGTGGTTTTCAGTTGCCATCTTGTTGTGGACTATTTAACTCTGAGTTTCGTGTGGACTTCAGTGGTTGAGTGATGGGCATTTCCAGAAATCCTGGAGTTCGCAGAGTTCCACTCCGCTATGAGGCCTAGTATGAGGAAACAACCCTGGTGTTCCTTGCAGATTACCGCTGGGGTGCCTTAGGCCCTTGGAGTTTTGTCCGTGTTTGGTTTTCCCTGCTAAGGAAGAGTTCTGGGTGAGGGGTCAAGCTGTTTAAAACCCTTGGTTCCTTCCGGGATTCCACGTATGCATAGTGTCTGCTCATTTTGGTTGTTGTAGGAACATTTCTCTCTCCAAACATAATGTTTCTTGTTGGGTGAGCGCTGACCAGGCCCCGCTCCGCGGATCACTTATTCAGGGGCCTGAGTCCAAAGGTGGTGGCGCTTCCTCCTGTCCTGATGGCACCATCGGAGGAGGGGAACAGACCTCCTCCCCCGTCACAGCGGCGACACTTCCACCGGTGGTGGTTCACGTCCGCGCCCCTGCGTCCTGGCACGCGCCTAGCATGTTAACTTATTCTCTCAGTAATGAGGTTACCATCCTTCAACACCTTTTTCTCTCTGTAACCCCGGGCTTTCTCTTTCGTCTTTAACAACGTCCTGATAAGGCTTCAGACAAGGCTAAGAGCTTTCCGAGCGTGTGGGGGATGGTAGAGCGTGAGTGGACAGTAGAGCGTTCGTCACTCTTGATCTCCTGTCCCTGCATTGGTGCTCTTCATGTTCCTTGGGGGCCCACCGCACGCTGGGACCCTGAGGGTGGACAGGACCCTGAGGGTGCACGGGACACCGCGTCTGTTTTCGTGCTGCCCGCCTCTGGTGGTGGTGGTGGTGGTGGAGGAGGTGGGGAAGTGGCCAGATAGTTGACAGGGCTGTGAGCAGGAGGGAGCAGGGTGACTGCAGACCCTCACGGGGGGTGCCCAGCTCGCAGGGGCTGGCACGGAAGGCCCGTCAGTGCCGGGGGGGGGGGGGGGGGGGGGATCTGGGTAGACGGTGTGGACAGCAAGCAGAGGGTGCTTGGAAGGGAGGGGTCTTGGCAGGTTTAAGATACCGGAAGACTGGCTTTGTGGCCAGATCTCGGGGGAGTCCAGTGACCATTAATTTTACCAGACATTTATTTTGTCCTTTAAGTATGTGAGGACTTGGGTTTGGCCCACAGTTGAGGTCATCTCTAGGTGGGTTGGTTGCAAGCAGAAATCGAGTGTCCTCACACTCCATTTCCAGACGGCCTCTAGACCATCAGAAGCTCTGGGTACTGAGAACTAAGTTGTTCTGTGAGTACAGATTTGGGGGTTGTTATTCCCAGTTTCTTCGTGGTAGGTTATGTGTCCTACGGCTTAGAACCCCGGCACTGACTTCTCCATGGAATGTTCACTTGACAGGCTGTGACTCTCCCATTTCTGTACAACTTAGCACATTTCATCGTTTGGGTTTGAGTATTTAATGTGCTATGGGAGACCTGCATCAGTTTTGGATAATCTGGGTAATAAACACACTTCTTACTGTTTATATCATACGTCTTCTGTGCATTAACAGCAGCTTTTGAAAGTTGTAGGTGTGTCTGCTGAGTGCAAACCTCTGGAGATGATGACTGTCCAGGGTAGGGGAGAGTGAGAGGGGCCTGTGCTGACCCCCAGCACGCCCCGGGACTCGTTCGGGAGGAGAGCGTGGCTGGGGGATACAGGGGATCTTTACAGGTGGAAGGAATGGTTCTTCGTGAGTTGTTCTTAGCTGGGCTTACACGGAGTCCAGAAACGAGGCCCGACTGACTTCTCAGGGTTGGGCTTTCCACTGAGGGGCAACATAGTGATCACAGTTTTCTCTGATTCGAGTCTGAGTTTCTTAAAAAGTTGTCTGCCATGCGCAGAGGTACGGTGTTTATTATTGGATTTTATGTATTGACAACTATCGAAGCCGATATCGAAACAGTCGCGTTCTTCCACTCTAAGTGGATGATTTAACCCACCTGATCCATGTTTGCGGTTGTGGAACTACCTGTGAAGACCAGGTGTGTTTTCATCACCCCAAAGGGCCCCCGGCGGCCCTTACATCCACCCACTCTCAGCCACCATCAGTCTGCTGCTGGCACAGGTTAGCTCTCTTTGGAGTCCCGTCTACATGGGATCAGGGTATGTAGTCTGGTGCCTGTCGGGTAGCATAATGCTCCTGTGATTGATTCGCGAGGCTTCCTGCAGGAATGCGGGCTCCGTCCCCGGGATGGACACACCCGCTTTTGTCTATCCACTCATCGCCGATGCACATTTTTGGGTTGTTTCCATTTGGAGTTGGTCGTAACTAAAGCTGCTCCGAGCATTCGCCTGCAGGTCTTTGTGTGGACGCGCGGTTCATTTCTCCTGAGCAGGCCTGGGCACGGGGCCCTCGGGTCATGTGGCCGGGCAGGTTTGCTTTTATAGGAAAAGACCATTCCCCACCTGTTTCTTCACCTCCCTGACAGCATTTGCATTTCCCAAACGAATACTGATGTTAAGTGTCTTATTGGGTATTCATGAAATCATTTTTTAAAAATGGTTTTAAACTAGTTTTTGAGAGAGAGACAGAACACAAGTGGGGGAGGGCAGAGAGAGAGGGAGACCCAGAATCCGAAGCAGGCTCCAGGCTCTGAGCTGTCAGCACAGGGCCCGATGCGGGGCTCAAACTCACGGACTGGGGGATCAGGACCCTGGCCGGAGTCAGATGCCCAACTGGCTGAGCCACCCAGGTGCCCCTACTGAGTATTCATTTATCCTCTTAGGTGAATGGTGTGTTCAGACTCTTCTGATATTTTAGTTGGCGCTTTTGTCTCATTGTGTTACAAGAGTTCTTTATACATTATTGATAAAAATCCTTTGTCAGGCAGGTGTTTGCAAATGTTTTCCCCCAGTCTGTGGTTTCCCTTTCATCGTCCTAATGGTATCTTAAAAGCAAAAGTTTTTAATTTAGATGAAGTTTGGTATATCAACTATTTGTATTTTATTTTTTTTGTTTTAACTAAGAAATCTGTGCCTGACCCAAGGGCATACTGATTTTCTCTTAGGTTTTCTTCTGGATGTTTTGCTTTATAGTTTCAGCTCTCACAGTTAGGTCACTTAGCCATTTTGAGTTAATTTTTGTGTATGGTAGGAGTTGATGGGCCCCCCTTCACTTTGGTAAATGGAAATCCAGTTCTTCCAGCACCATTTGTGAAAAAGACTGTCCTTTCCCATTGAATTCCATGGCACCTTTGTTGACAGCTAACTGCTTACATATGTATGAGTCTATTTCTAGACTCTTCATCCTGGGCCGATGGTCTGTTTGTCTTTCCTCAATACCATAGTGCCTTAATTACTGTGGCTTTATAGTACATCTTGAAATTGGGTGATATAGGTTCTCTGACTTTATTTACCCTTTATTCTTACTTATTTATTTAAAATGCTTATTATATTTGTGAAAGAGAGAGCGTGCAACTGGGGGAAGGGCAGAGAGAGGAGGAGACAGGTTCCCAAGCAGGCTCTGTGCTGACAGCTGAGAGCCCACAATGCCGGACTGAGACTCAAGAACCGTGAGATCATGATGTGAGCTAAAGTTGGATGCTTACTGGACTGAGCCACCCAGGTGCTCCGAGAGAGAGAATCTTAACCAGGCTCCACATTCAGCGCAGAGCCCAGTTCAGGGCTTGATCCCATGACCTGGGGATCCTGGCCTGCGCTGAAATCAAGAGTCCATGCCCAACCAACTGAGCCACCCAGGCACCCCTTAATTTTCATTTGTAATTGTAAATCACTACATACAGAAATATAAAAACTTTTTTTTTAAAGTATGTTCCATGCCCAATGTGGGGCTTGAACTCACAACCCTGAGATCAAGAGTTTGATGCTGTACCAATTGGGCCACCCAGCTACCCCCTCCCCCCCAAATTTTTATATTGGGTTTGTATCCTTAGTAAACTCACTTATTAGTTGGAGTAGCTTTTAATGTCTGCAAGGTCTGTAGTGATGTTCCTTTTTGCTTGATAATGATAATTTGTATCTTCTCTTTATTTGGTCACGTTGGTTACAGATGGGTCAATGTTATCTTTTCAGAAACTCAGCTTTTTATTTCATTGATTTCTCTATTGTTTGTCCATTTCTTATTTTATTAATTTATGTTCTTCATTTTTTCTTCTGCATACTTTGGTTTTAATTTACTCTCTTTCTGGGTTCTTAAGGTCAAGCTTAACACATTGTTTTTTAAATTTCTCCTTCCCGGGGTGCCTGGGTGGCTCAGTCGGTTAAGCGTCCTACTTTGGCTCTGGTCATGAACTCGTGGTTTGTGAGTTTGAGCCCTGCATCGGGCTCTGTGCTGACAGCTCAGATCC